GTTCTTGGACAAATCACATGAATCTTATGCACCCCTGTGTGCTGCCTTTTTAATTTCCAAGACTGAAAGCAACCAGCAGAAACCTCAGTCCCAGTTCTGCCCAGTAAGCAGGTCTGCACTGGAGTATGGGAAGGAGAGGGACAGAGGTTTATCCACTGCTTCTGACAAATACCTAATATTTTATATTTCTGATTTTTCTCTGTAAATCACATGGCCTGGACAGAAGCAGAAAGAGAGAGAAGAGAACAAATATTGCCCTGTACTCCAGGAACTATCAATCTGCTCTGTCAAATGCAGTTCCAACACAAGGAATGCTCATGCTCTCCCAAATTTAGCATAACCACAGAAAATTTTTTTCAGCAATGACTCCTGCACTAGAGATTTTTTTTGTTTATCTAGGACTGCAAATTGTCTCCAAAACCAGAGCAGATAATACAGCTGAGGTTATATCAGGCATTATATGGCATAAAGGACGCTCATAAGTTTTTGGTGTTAACTGGAGTTCACCTCACCTGCTTGGCACACAAAGATACTTCGTTTTTCTTTGTGATTCCTAATTAACTGATTCTTATCAAAGCACCACTTCATAATACCTTTTCTTAGGTTTATCTTTGACCCAAGAGCCCCTCAGATTGTTACGGCTCACACAGCAGTCAGATGTGAGAGTCTATGAAATTACTGTTAAAGATCAAATCACATTAAAAATATGGTCTAGGGCAAAAAAAACAAACAGATTTTCTTTCAAAATATTATATTTTCAAATTTCAGAAGTAACAAAGCATATTTCATGAGCAACAGCTAATGTAAATCTTGCAGAGGGAAGGGGAAAGCAAACAGAAACAAGAATATTACGGAACTCCAGGAGGAGCTTGGAATATAATCTTATTAATGTCTAAATGGCCATGAAGTAGCTTTACAGGCCATGCAAAGGAAATGAAAATGAAAGCTTTCAGCCCTGGAGATCAAGTTTACCTGCAAAAGCTAGGAGACAATTCCATAAAGAAAAAAACAGCAGTTAAAGATGCAAAACTGCACTTGCTGCAACTCCCAAGCCTTTATTACATATTTGCAGACTTTTAAAAGTTTCTGTTCACTTCCTGCAAGACTTAATAGGTAACCACGTAATCTCTGCATTTCTGCATAGAAATACAAAAGGAACAGCACCTGGAAGTACAGCACTCCAGAAACACCTATTTGAGGAAGCAAGTTTTGGACTGAGGAAGCCTCTGAGCCCCAAAATGTTTTACCTGGGGAACGAGGCTGACATGGATGTTACAGAAGTTCTCTCTCTTGGCTTTGAACTGGAACTGGCGGAAGGCCTCGATGAAGGGCATGCTCTCGATGTCCCCCACCGTGCCCCCGAGCTGGGAACACACACACAGGCAGAATTTAGTACCAAAACATCACCTGGAAGTTCTATGCTACAGCACAGGAAAATATACATAACAACACACAAACATCTCCCCAGCACCTCCCTCTGATTCCCCAAAGGAGCATCAACACAAACACAGCTTCCTTCCCAGGGGCTGCACCCATCTCTGCTCTGTGAGCAGGGACAGGACCCAGGGAACGGCTGGAGCTGTGTCAGGGCAGGCTCAGGGTGGATCTCAGGGAAAGGTTCTTCCCCCAGAGGCTGGTTGGACACTGCCCAGGCTCCCCAGGGCAGTGGGCACAGCCCCAAGGCTGCCAGAGCTCCAGGAGGGTTTGGACAACGCTCTGAGGGACAGGGTGGGATTGCTGGGGTGTCTGTGCAAGGCCAGGGGTTGGACTGGATGATTTTTGTGTGTCCCCTCCAGCTCAGGATATTCTGTGATCCTATTCCATGCGAAGCACCAGAATTTGCCACCTCTGCACTACTTCCACAGCCTCCAACCTACTCCGACTATTATTTTACCTTCATCATTTCCCCAAAAATCAAAAAGCCACAAGAAAAACAGCTTCTGATATGGGCAGCACCTCTCCAGAGACATCAGCTTTACCTCTATTTTCTCTTCAGGGAAAAGATTTAGATGTTAAAATTACGATTTATGAAAATTAGGTGGCACTGAGAAGCAAAATTTCTGCTAAGTTTTAGGAACTATATAGTGTGCTTATACAAAGGCAGGAACAAAGACAAGACTTGGAGCCTTCCATCCCTTGTGAGACAGAGTCTCCTAAGCACTTCAGACCTGGGTTTGTGATCCTGGCACACAAACTGGCACTCAAACTGCAGGCAGAGCCCTAAGTCACCATGACCTGGGCACTGTGACAAGCTCCCTCTCCTGTGTCAGCATATCCCAGCAGTCTTTGCCCTACTGCATCTCCTTTGGCAGCAGAAACATTCCATAAACACACTGGAAACTGCACGTGTTTGTCACCACTAACTCGTGCCATTCCTTGTCCCAGGTCTACGTTTGAACTGGTCACTCCAAGGCTCCTTTTACTGCTGAGAGGAAAAGACAACCCTTTCCAGAGGGAGATTTACCTGCTCTCCCTCCGCCCACCAAGGAAGAAGAGGGCACAGCACGATTAACTCAGACTTTGGCATATTAAGTTACAAGAGCTAAAATTCATTCTAGAGGTTAATTCATAGAATTTCCTGAGCTGGAAGGGACTCAAAAGGATCATCCAGTCCAACATCTGGCCCTGCACAGACACCCCAACAATCCCATCCTGGCCCTCAGAGCGTTGTCCAAACCCTCCTGGAGCTCTGGCAGCCTTGGGGCTGTGCCCACTGCCCTGGGGAGCCTGGGCAGTGCCCAACCAGCCTCTGGGGGAAGAACCTTTGCCTGAGATCCAACAAAAACCTCCCCTGAAACAGCTTCATGTTCTTCTCTAGGGTCCTGTCACTGCTCACAGAGAGTGCTGCAATTCAAAAGATTAGTCCCAGTAAGTCAAGTTACCAAGGGAGATTTTTAACCCATTCAATAACATGCAAAGTGGAACATTTCTGTAAAGAAAATTTATTATGCAAAATACACACATGGTTCAGTTTACTCCATACAAGAAGCAAAATTATCAGTTTTTTACTAGTTACAAACCTCGATCACACAAACTTGGGGTTCAATGCCATCTTCATCCACAGGAATCCGTGCCTGCCTCATTACCCATTCCTGTATGGCATCTGTGATGTGGGGAACGACTGGAAAAGAAAGCCAGGCAAGGATTAAAGCCCGCCATGCACACATTTCTCCCTCTTAACTCATTACAGAGCAAATTACTGACAATCACCAGCCAGGGCTTCTCATATGGCTTGAGCAGGGGTCTGTGTCTTTAAAGAACTATGCATTTTTTAAGTGATTATTCTTGGCTGTGACTTTCAAGGGCCTTGGCAGGAAATGGAATCCTGCCTCAATTTAAACGCATGTAAGTAACACTTCCTTTAAGCTAAAAGATTCAAGTACAAACTGTTCTTTGCTCTAAGCAGCGAGAGTTACTCTGTTTTTAACTGTTTGTAAAAGTCCTAGTGCAAACCAGCTGTGGAGGTTGGTTAAAAAGGGAAGGGACTGATCTGATCCTCAAAGATCCTCTGGGTTCTCTAAAGACACGATAGTTACCAAAACCAAAAACCATTTTATCCAGCTTACAACCAACCCCCAGGTGTATATCTGCTCACAGTTATCACTGGCTACATTACACAGCTGGACCCAAGGCCAGCACAGTCCCAACATGCAGGATTGTGCAGAGCCTCAAGTGAAGATGAAAGACATCCAGCCGGGACTGAACTACAAGATGTATTTCTAAGGACCAGAAAACAAGCTTTGCATTACCTTGGACCGTTTTGCCGAGATAGTCTCCCTTCCTCTCCTTGTTGATGACATACTGGTAGATCTTCCCCGTGGTCAGGTTGTTGTCTTTGGTGAGTCGGATATCCAGGAAGCGCTCATAGTTCCCAAGGTCCAGGTCCACCTCCCCTCCATCATCCAGAACAAACACCTCCCCTGCACACACACAAAGGGGCACAGCACACGTCAAACAGTCCACAGAAAAAATGGAAGAATTCAGGGCAAAGAAACACCTTCTCTGACTGCCACAGCAAGTTTAGAAGTGGCAAATAAAACTAAAAGCCTTATACAACAGAGGACTAGTGCATTGGGGACAGAGCCCCCCAACCAGGCAGCAGGAACAGAGCAGAGAGCACATCCCTGCTGTGGGCTGGGGCACAGCAGCCCCACCGGCCAGCTCAGGGCGTGCTCAGCCCGGGGTGCCACAGACAGGAGCGGGCACAGAGGTTTGTGCAGAGCGCAGCGACGGATGGGGATGGATGGCTCCTTCCAGGCCAAGCCGCGGGACCACCCGGCAGAGCCCGCACCCACCCGGGGCCACCCGCCCGCGGGGCACTCACCGTGCTCATAAGGCGAGAAGGTGCCGGCGTCGATGTTGATGTAGGGGTCGATCTTGATGGAGGTGACATGCAGCCCGCAGGACTTGAGGATGGTGCCGATGCTGCTGGCGATGATCCCCTTGCCGATGCCCGAGATCACCCCGCCCGTGACCAGGATGTACTTCATCTGCCCCGCGCCTGGACCGGCACACCCGGCACCGCCTCAGCGCGGGGCTCAACACTCCCGACAGCGACCCCGCGGCACCCCCGCCCTGACAGCGACCCCCGAGCTGCGACCCCGCCCGCCCCTGAGGGCCTGTCCCCGCTGTCCGCTCCTCCCGTCCCCTCCTCCTGGCTCCTCCCGCCACAAATTCCCGCCACAGCCGCGGCTCCACTGAGCCGCCCGTGTCCCCCCCTGCAGCCGCGTGGGGTCCGCGCGCCCCCCCCCCCGCGCCGCCCCCATGGTCCCGCCCGCCGCCCTCACCTGTGTCCGCCGGGCGCGCGCACGGCGCGGGCGGGGGGTGCGGGGGGTGCGGGCGGTGCGGAGCGCGCGCGGCGCCGGTCCCCAGCAGCTCGGCGGGACAGCGCATGAGGCCGGCGCTGGGCGCGGCGCACGCGCGGCTGCCCCTCAGCGCCTGCGCAGTACGGGGGGGGCGGTCCCCGCGCCCCAGGGCGGGAGGGGCGGGGCAGAGCCCCCGCGATGGCTCCGCCCCCGGCCCCGCCTCGGCCCCCTCAGAGCCCGAGGAGCCGAGGAGCGGTTTGAGTTGGAATAAACCCTTTAACATCGGTGGGGCCAACAGTGGCCCCAGCCCTGCCGGGGCCACCACTAACCCGTGTCCCCGAGTGCCATGCCCACACCTTCTCTGAACATATCCAGGGATGGGGACTTCACTGTTCCAGGGCTGAACTATCCTTTCAGTGAAGAAAGTTTTGCAATATCCAACCTGAACTTCCCCGGGCGCAACTTGAGACTATGTTCTCTTGTCACTTGTCAGGGCAAGCCCATCCCTTAACCGTGTCCCCAGGTGACACATCCACAGGTTTTTTGAACACACACTGGGACGGTGATTTCACCACTGCCCTGGGCAGCCTGTTCAGTGCCTGACCACCCGTTCCTTTGTTGAGGAATACCTCTGGCCCTTTGTTGAGGAATACCTCTGGCCCTTTGTTGAGGAATACCTCTGGCCCTTTGTTGAGGAATGCCTCTGGTTCCTTTGTTGAGGAATGCCTCTGGCGCAGGTAGCTCAGTTTGCAACCTGCAGATTGAGATGCAGATTGAGCTCTAGGTGCGAACTGCCAACCTTTGGGATAACAAAGGACATGAAGAGGAGAGATGCCAGCCGGGTGGATGGACATGGAGAGGGGCGCAGGAGCAGGGGACTCAGGAGGAAGAGCAAGACTTGCTCACTCACGGATTGTGACGGTATAAAAGCCCAGGGATCCTTTGCTCAGGGCCCCTCCTCTGAGGCACCAGCTCGGAGCTGTTCCTGTGTTACTGCACCACGAATAAATTGCATTATGGAACGAGGCATCTGAGGATCTGGTATGGGAAACCTGGGGTGGAACCGGTGAGGAAATCTGGTCTGACTGTGTGAGTGTTGGGTGTGTGGGGAGTCAGTGACTCCCTTGGGTCACTGGAGAGGCTTCAGTCCCAGCAGTAAAAGTGCCTTGAATTGGGAGTGTGACTGCCAGAGAGTCTCAGGAACGGTCAGATTGGCAAATTTCCTTAACACAATGAAGAATTTTTTCCCTAATATCCAACCTAAACCTCCCCTGGCACAGCCTGAGGCCGTTCCCTCTCCTCCTGTCCCTTGTTCCCTGGAAGCAGAGCCCGACTCCCCCTGGCTCCCCCCTCCTGTCAGGGGGTTGCAGAGCCAGAAGGTCCCCCCTGAACCTCCTTTTCTCCAGGCTGAGCCCCCCCAGCTCCCTCAGCTGCTCCTGAGGTGGATTCTGTCGTTGTTGGTCTCCTCTGCCAGTGTGCCAGCACGTTTCTCCGTGGACATGGTCCCTGTGTGTTGATCAGCTCTGTGGGCAGAGCTGTCTCTTGCTTTTCCAGGGACAGGGGTTCTCCCCCCACTGCTGGCACAGTGAGCTGCACAGTGTGCACAGGAGTTCAGGGCCTGGGGCCGCCCTGCAGGAAGCATTTGCTGCCAGAATTGCCTGGCCATGCTGATCTCTTTCTCCATGAAGGGCCCCTCTTGTTTTCTTCTGTTCTGCAAGTAGCTCCTAAGAGAGAAAAACATTTCCAGCAGCTTTTCTGAGGAATGCTGGTGCTGGGTCTGGGGACGGTGAGATAGGGTGACAGTGCCCAGCAGGGAGGGTGTGTCTGTGCTCTGCCTTCTGCTCGGGCTGTTACTATCTAAGGGCATATCCCAACAAGGCACAGAGAGGCTGAGCTCTCCCAGGGCTGGGTCTAGATGTCCCAGCTTTTCCCATTTCATGAGCAGGCCATAAGACTCATGCCTTGTGACTGAGGGAATTTGGGGAGGGTTGTGTAACCTAGATGTGAGCATCTCCTTTTGGACGCACAAATCCCTTTCTCAGTGCCTCATTAAGGCCTCAGGGGTCAGACATCCTGTGGTGCTCAGAAGAGAACTACACTCAGTGGAAGCTATTATAAGCATTAAATGGTGTGGAATAACAGTGACCCAGAAAAGTCAGATCACTAATATCTCAACTTATGCAAAATTACATCAACTTTTTGGAGGAGAAGTGGGGGAAGGTATGTGTGTGTGTGTATGTGTGTGTCTCACCCTTAATTTTGCCTTAGTAAGTTTTGCCCTCAGAGTGCCTTGTTTTCAGCTCTCAATAAAATACAGACTGAATATTTTCCTTTCAGAAACGTGAAATGAGATGAAATGGATCCGCTCTGATTATTTAACCGGATTTGATTAACAACAAAACAAATTAACTGGAAAGCATTGCTGGGAGGACTGGCATAGCTCTGGGGAATGTTAATGTGTTACTGGGATTATGCACGGAATGAATAGACTGGAATCCTCAAATACTCACTTGAACTTCCTTGTTATTCAGGAGCCTATTGGTACAGGAAAAGGTTTATTGTGATGTTACATATATATTGTGTTAATGACAGTGATAATAAATTACATAATATGTTACTATGTTCTTATGTTAATATATTGCTTATTATTAATGTCTGCCAGATGCAAGCCCTGCTCTACAAGCAAAAGGTTTGCCAAACCTGCTTCTGTGGGCCCTTATCCTCCAGCTGAAGAGCATATGAGAGAATGATCAGATGGAGAAGACAAAGGTGCACAAACATTTTGAAGCAGGTGATGGGGTTTTATGTGCCATGTTGGCACAAAATGCTGCTCCAATTGGCTCAGTGTGGAGTGAGGTGGGGTGTCCTACAAACAGGTACCTTGGCAGACATGTCTGTGGGTTCATGTGAGACCATGGTGCCTGTGAGGTCACTGCCTGCTCTGGACCTCCTGATGTACCCAACCTGCCAGAGCTCAAGGAGCCCTGCTCCTGTGGGGTCCCCCATGGGCTCAGGGGCACAGCTGCCTCACCACGGGCTGCAGGAGAACCTCAGCTCCGGCTCCTGGAGCACCTCTCACCTCTCCTGCGCTGACCTTGGTGTCTGCAGAGCTGTTCACATGTTCTCACTCTGCTCTTCTCTGGCTGCAATTTTCATCTGGACAACAACTTTTTTTCCTTCTCAAATATGTTATCCCAGAGGCGTTACTATCATTCCTGATGGGCTTGGCCTTGGCCAGCTGCTGCTGGTCCATCCTGCAGCTGGCTGGCATTGGCTCTGCAGGAAATGGGGGAAGCTTCTGGCAGCTTCTCATAGAAGCTACTCCTGTAGTTCACCTGCTACCAAAACCTGGCCATGCAAACCCAATACACGCTGTCAGAAACACCCCAGTGCAGGGTCATCCTTAACCACTTCTTTCACTGGTCGTAGAGAAAAGTCTCACTGTCTGAACTGAAATCCCATTCTCAAAATCTTGTTGCAACAGGTCACGCTGTCATCTTCAGGAGGGACCATGCTAAGAGGACGCTGCAAATGTCCTGACTGGAGTAACTGCATTCTTCCTTACTGGTGAAGTCTGGCAGCTCTGAGGGCTGGCTGCCACCCCATACTGGGCAGCACTGCCCAGAAAACACTTTGTCTTTATTGTTACCGGTGTTGATCATCACCACAGGTGTCTGATATTACATTTAGTAGCTGTCTCAGTCATATGGGGTTGGGTGGGTTTCAGCTCATGCTCCTCTGACTGGTGCCTGCTCCAAATGGCAGTGGTGTGGGTGAGGACATCCCTGTCACCATCCCCATCCACCCTGACCTATCCCTTGGTAGACCTATCTCCCCAAAGCAGAGGGCTTTGCAGGAGAAGGTTGGAATCACCAAGAACAGACACTTGGAATCACAGAATCCTAGAATAGTTTGGGTTGGAAGGGACCTTAAAGACCATCTTTAAAGACCAGAAAAAGTTCCACTCCCTGCCATGGGCAGGGACATCTTCTACTAGACCAGATTGCTCCAAGCCCTGTCCAACCTGGCTTTGGACACCTCCAGGTTGAGCATTTTATGTGCTGCTGAAGTGCCATGGATATCTCTGCCTCTGAGTACCTGTGAAAAGCATCTTGGCTGATTTTTAAGTACAGAATATTTCAGGCATCTCAAAATCAAAGCATGAGGGTGATTGTCATCTGCTCTGCTCCAGATTCACCCTCGCTTCTTACTCTGTGGATGCTGAAGCGGTGATGAAATAGTTCCTGCTGTGATCCAAATATCTTCTAAAAGGCTTCTTTGGTGGTTTGGAGTGGAAGCTCATTCTTAGTAATTCAGGTCTGTACTACCTGAGGTATGATGCTGGTCTGTCTTCTGTAGAGGTGACTGTAATAATCTCCATTTTTTAGTTTTTCCTAACCAATTCCCATCAGCACATGGAGCAAAGCCACTGCAGTGCCAGCCAGGCCTTGGAACACACTGGTGAAGCTCTTCTACATTTGGTTTCCACTGTGTGCTGACCACTGGATTTCATCTCATGATTGATATAAACTTCACAGGGGCAATGTGGAGTCACTGGCAAATGGCAAACACTGTCCATTCCCACTTCCACATTGCAGGACACTCCCTGTGAATCTTCTGTATATGGCTTCTCGAGGTTTCCATGTGCAGGATTAATCAGGGTTTGTGTAAAGTGCTCAAATCCTTTACAGATCTACACTTGTGCTCTGAACTCGATCAAGTTTTCATCTAAGTGCAAAGTAAATACATCAGGTTACCCTGAGTAACCAAAGGGTCTTGGCAGATCTTAAATAAAATACAAAATACTGTAGGAAGGAGGGAGGAAAAAGGGGTGTGTGAAGGAGTGCACACTGTACATGTACAGTACTCTGGAGCACAAGATGAGGAGTGGCTGGGGGGTGGGGGAGACTCAGCCCGGAGAAAAGGAGGCTCAGGGGGGACCTTCTGGCTCTGCAACTCCCTGACAGGAGGATAGAGCCAGGGGAAAGTCGGGCTCTGCTCCCAGGGAACAAGGGACAGGAGGAGGGCAAATGGCCTCAAGTTGTACCGGGGAGGTTTAGATTGGATATTAGGGAAAATTTCTTCACTGAAAGAGTGGTTAAGCATTGACACAGAATGCCCAGGGCAGTGGTGGAGTCACCATCCCTGGAAGTGTTCAAACAATGAGTAGCCGTGGCACTTCATCATCTGCTTTGTGAACGTGGTGGGCAAAGGTCGGACCTGACAATCTTGGAGGTCTTTTCTCTTTTCCATCCTTAATTGTTCCATGGTTCTGTGTTCTCTGGTAGCTCTTGCCCTGTTACCTTGGTGTGTGTCCTCTCCAGAGATCTCCACTAGATGGTGGAATGGACCAGTAAAAGAGTTTCTACAGTAACAAAGGGAGGCAGCCAGGTGGTGGTGACACCCGTGGTGACCTCAGAGCTGCACTCAGGACCGGATACTGGAGCACTGCATGCACCCTTGATTCTTTCAGGCAGGGGGTTTTCACCTGCAGGCCTCTTCCTATCTACTTCTTTTTCTCCATGGCGAAGAGCTGCCTTTTTCCTGGGAGAAAAGGACTTGAACTCACTGAGGTGCTGCAGAGCTCATCCATACTAGGAAGGGAATGCTTTGGCCAAAGAACTGTGACCTGACGTGGAGACAGCAGTGAGCAGAGCTGGCTGAGAGTGGGGCAGTGCATCACCAGAGAAGAAGTGAGAGGGAAGAAAAAGTTCTACAGGTGCAGAAGATGTGTGATGGGGATTTAAGCTCTCAAGTCTGTGTGCTGAAGCCTGTGCTGCCCTTGGACAGAGTGTTGGACTGAGACCAGCTCTCAGTCCTCAGCCCTGGGAGGTCATGTCACAGTTCTGTGCCTCAGTTCCTCACGTGTAAGGTGGAGTCAAGGATTCCGACCCTTTTGGGACAGTCTTTTGTTATCTACAATAACATGACCGTCAGAGCTCTCTGGTTTCATTACTGACTGCTGGTGACTCGTGGTCTTGTGTCCTCTGTACCTGCAGTCCCAGAGAGATGAAGCTTTAGCCCCCTTGTAGGACTGTCCAGCAGTGGAGGGGCTGACCCTGCCCTGTCCTGGGTCCCTCATTTCAGTGAGGGTTGCATCTCCTCCACATAGCACATGGAGCTGTGCCAGAGCCAGCTGCTGCTGAAGGGGGGACAGATGCTGGTCGAGCTGCTGGTCACTGTTTGGCCAGGATGGTGAGAGTGCAGCTGCAGGCCTCATGTTTACAGGAAGACTTATGCAGATTTGATGAATTACACAGAATGAGATGTTTTTCTTTAAAAAATGGAGTTTGCTTCCCTGATGGGTGCCATGCTGGTGGGGGCTTTGCCAGGAAAGCTTCATCTAGTGGAAGTTGTCCCTACCCATGAAGGATGGAATGAGATGACCTTTAAGGTCCTCTCCAATCCAAACCATCCTGTGATTTTGTGATTCTGTGACACTTCTTTCTGAGAAGAGAGACCAGACAGACCACCTGAAGCCTAAGGGATGTCCTCAGCTCCTCCAGCACTCTGAGTTTCCAGCTCATGGGTTCTGGAGAGGCAAGGCCAGCTGCCAGGCACAGGGTGTTACGGAGGCGTGCAAGGACAAGAGGCAGGATTATCAAGAGCTGTTTCTCTACCTGCATGACTGAGCAAAATTTAATTACCTCTGCTCCCAGGAGGGCTGCCTGGCCCTGGTACATGAACCATGAGATGTAGGTTTCTAACAATCTGCAGTGCTGTGATGGGTCTGTGAGTCCTGTAGCCTCATAAGGTGCCTCTGGAAGTGACCAGGGAAAGCTGGGACAAGGACTCTGTAGTGAGTCGTTCAAGAAAAAGAATGGTGTAGGGAAAAGAGATCATGCTGCCCACGGAGAACAAGCTGGCCGGGGTTTGCACTCAATCATCTGCCTCTAATGTTTTTAGCCTGACATATTTCCATATTTTCCTCAGCCTCTTTGATGTTGTGAGCTTCCTCATCTGGGGGATTTCTCTAGTATCTCTCAGACCAGAGTCCAAATCTTCATGCCCTGATTGTTGAGTTCGTATTTTCAAGACTTAAATTTTATCTGCTGCCAGATAACACCTTCAGTTCTTATTGACCAAGGAGACTAATTGTTCCCTTTCCTTTTAACAGCAAGAGGGAGACATTATAAAATTATCTCACAGAGCTGCTCTTCAGTCATGGTCGTGGTAATGAACCGAGTTTTCAAGAAGAGGCTCGGTACCGAGAACTGGAAGGACGAGGTGAGAGACCTGCAGGAACGTTTGTGGAGGTGACTTCACCCTGGGATGGCAGGGTGTGCCTGCAGGTTCCACAAGCAAACCCAAGCCATCCCTGCCGCTCGTGCCCTTGTCAGTCCCACGTGTCTTGCTGTTGTGATGAAGTGCAGGACAGCTTGTCTGTCTGGGCGTGTGGTAAATGGGCAGAATTGCTGGGGTGGGACCTGCCTGGGGAGCAGAAGGTCACTGCCAGGCACAGAACAGGGGTCAGTGCAGTGCAAGACAATGCAGTCACTCGGGAAGGGTCAGATTTAGCAAAGGTGAAGCAAGAGCTCTGCAGGGCAGGAACTCTCAGCAAAGCACTGAGGTGCCAAGAGGCAAACCAGGTTTTGGCCTCATTATTTGCAGTGTACAATACATAAACAGAGTGTGGCCAAGGTTTACTTTAGTGCCTGCTGTTTGTGCCAGCCAGGAGTGCCAGGTCCAGAGGAAGAGGTGAGACACTGCCCAAACACATGTGGAGGGGTCACATCTCTCCCAGACAATTTGTATCCTCAACAGAAAAGTCAGAGAAAAGAATAGATGTGTCTCTCTGTAACATTTTTCCTTGAATTAAAACATACACCAGGCTTATTGTTCCCCCAGCACCTTTTTGGCTCCCATCATGTCTCAGCCTTGATCCAAGAGGAACATTTTGAGGTATGTGCTATAGGAAAGGTGTTTGTCTGTGTGTGACCCTGTGCAGGATATTCAGTAGTGAATGACAAATTCCAGCCAGGACTCCAAGGCGAGCCCTCTCCCCACATGGGGACTGGGAGCCAATCTGGTCACATCTGGGCTGTCACACACAGAGGCCACCACTGCTGGTAAATCAGGTGAGACCATCCACTGGAGACTTGTGTGTCACAGGAAACCCTGTGAGGGAACACCAGAATCCCAGAGGAGCTTTGGGGATGTGAAGTTACACCTGTCCCTAATTCAGGATGATTCTGTGGATGTGCCAAAGACTGGAATTTTTTTTAAATACTGTTTCTCTGCCACATTTTTCTTGTGTTTCTCTTGTGTTTCTCTGCCACATTTTTCTTCATGTTTCTCTTCTGTAAGTGTTCCACAAGCTCACTGATCACAGGAAACAGCCCAGCTGGAGCTCACTTAAAGCTCTGTCCACATGCTTCCTCTTTCTGTCCCTGTCTCTAAACCTGTACTGACAATATTTGCATTGTAATGATTGAACTCAACACTTGCCTGGTAGCAAAGGTGATTTCTGCATAATCAGAGAATATTTTAGCCTTCCCATTCCTCTGGGTTTAGTCTCACCTCAGTGTGGGATTCAGCTCTACTCAAGGCATAGGGAGCTGCTTTGTCCCAGTAATACAGGGGAAGGTTTGGAGCTGCAAAGGGGTTCCAAGGTGCAAGAAATACCTTTTAGGGACCAGCATCAGCCAGATGACTCTGGGAGAATGTCAGGTTCTCCCACAAGTTTGAAAAAGGAGGGAGAAGGACTCCTGGTGACAGGACAAGGGGCAATGATTTTACACTGCCAGAGGACAGGGTTAGACTGGATATTAAAAATAAATTCTTGGCTGTGAGGGTGCGGAGGCCCTGGCACAGGTTGCCCAGAGAAGCTGTGGCTGCCCCATCCCTGGAAGTGTCCAAGGCCAGGTTGGACAGGGCTTGGAGCAACCTGGGATACTGGA